AGGTTGAGTGGGGGGAAAGCACCGTGGGTTTGGGAAGATGATTTGGTCCATGCAGAGAGTGGTCTGGCCCTAGAGTGCAGGATAGGGAGATGTAGGGAGCCACACATTATTGTTGGCAAAAATGGTTGCTTTTACTATGCAGTCTCAGCTTGTGGTGCTCAAGCCCAGTGCCAACTCCCCAGACACAGCCAGCTGTCTTGCCTGGAGTAGAGGCCACCATTTTGCTTCTGCAGTGTCTCATTGTGTTGAGAGAAGCAAGGAGGGCCAAGGGGTAGAGACGACAATGTTCTTTACGCCTTCACATGTTGAGTAGATCATCTGGCAACAGCTCTTCTTGGCAGGCAAGGTGCTTCTCACCAGCAGCCAAGGCTCCAATCCGGGCTCCCAGGCCTGCTGAGGACCTCAAGTCACAACAGAAAACAATGCCCAAGACCCCTGGACTGCTGCACAGAACACCAAAACGGGGAGCTGGTTGGGCCTCTCAGCCATCATCAGAGCAGGAGTGAGGTAACAAGGCTGGGCAGAGAGATGGGAAGGGGAGCTCTCTACACCATGTGCAAATTCCTGCTCCACATCAGGAAAGCAGAGGCGTTAAAAGACGGCCTTCCAGAAAAACGTTTCTCTCAGACCCAAAACGCATCTTCTGGAAGAAAACATAGAGGTGGAGGAGAGTGGGACTAGCCTGCTGCAGGCTGGGGAATAAGGGTCAAGGATGTCAAGTGGTAGGTAGATGGGATGATTGTCCCACAGCCGAGAGGCAAGGGGTTGAGGAGGAGAGAGTTAAGAGGAGAGGTTCTTAAGTTTTGTGCTGGAGTGGGCAGGTAAAGTCAGGAGGGTAGGGAGGAGACCCCAGCCCTGCCACCTGGGGGAAGAGAGAAGAGTATTATTTACCTGGGGGTGGGGGGGGGCAGGGAGGAAGGGCTGGCTTTGGCTGCCCTGCAGAGCTAAAGAAGCAGTACAGTATGGCACAGAAAGAATCTTTCTGAGACCCCAAACAGCCCAGAAAGATTCTTCCCCTAGTCCTTTCTCAAGATTTCACCCTACAGATGCTGCTGGTGAATGTACTAGACATGGTCCAAGCTTGGGTCAAAGACGGGGACCTGAAAAGAATCCACTTCTATCAAAGCATTCCTCTTGAGGTTTCTCCTTCCTCCCCACTCCTTGTAATCTCAGGTTCTTAGTGTCAGTGCTCTAAGGCAGCTCAAGGATTTCCGCCAAAGCTTCACACTTAACCTAAACCCCAACAAAGTTTGAGCCAAAAGAGAAGTGCTAGAACCAGGAAATGCCTTCTCTCTACTGTTTCTTCTAGCAAGGAGGAAGGAGGATGGGTAGATGAAAGGCTTCATAGCCTAAGGATGGCAGATGGGTCAATCCAAAATGTTGCCCTTCTTGCCATTATCCTCTTTCTCTTAGCTTAGAAAAAGCCCAAAGGAAGGTCCTTTCCCAAACTGAGACTAGGCCAACGAAGGAAGAAACGCCATCTTAGGTTAATACCGAGCAATACAGCAGGCGTAATCTCTCTCCTCCCCCTCTTCTCTCTCTCTCTCTCCCTCCCACCACTTCGTCATGATCCTGGGGAAAATCCCATCTTTTTGTTTTTTCCTTTGGCCCCTCTCACTGCTTCTCCCTAACCCTCCTAGGCCATAAAAACTAAAGTTTCACTACCCTGAATTTCCTAGGAAATCAGACACTGTCCTAGCCCAGAAGGGAACCTTCCAAGTCTAAGAAAGCCCAGCCTTGCCAGTCTCTGATGTAGCCTCCAAGAAAATGCCAAATCTATAACCTACCACAGAGATAGTCTAGACCAGTGGTCCCCAACCTTTTTTTCACCAGGGACTGGTACTCCTATGAGAATCTAATGCCTGATGAACTGAGATGGAGCTGAGGCAGTGATGCTAGGGCTGAGATGCAGCTGTGCGACCCAGTTCCTAACAGGCCACAGACTGGTACCAGGGGGTGGGGGCCTTTGGTCTAGACCAATCCCCCATCCTGTTGCAAATGAGGATACTAAGCTCAGAGAGGGGGAGTGTATTTCCAATAGCTAGGGCTGAGGCCCAGGTCTCTTGATTCTCAACCCATTGCTCTTACAGAAAGCTTCAAGTTGCTGACCTTGCTGGCCTAGGATGTTTTCTCCCATCTCAGGGAGGTGGGGTAGATGGGGGAAAGGAAAGAGTTGCAGACAGGACTGGCTTCTCCAAGGCCAATCTTATTAATTCCTCTACAGTAAGTTGGAGTGGAAGTATAGACCCTATACCTGTTCTTCACCTGGTTAGAAACTTTGCAAAATCTTTGAAATTGAGTACAAGGTCTCAAATGTTTCACCACATGAACCTTTGTGGAAAGACCCCTGTGTGATCCAAGTTCTTACAAGAACAAAAACAAAAAAAGCACTAGCTGGAAATAATAACATAAGAGAGGTGATGGTATTGATGCTCCTTTGCAGACAGCTATAAGCCAGGCAGCTGGCCATGAGTTACAATGTTATTTATGTGTTTCACTCCCAGAATTATCTGCAAGGGTTAGTGACCTTCTCTTTGACAGATTACTAAATAAAGAGGAAAAGCTTTGTTTGGGAGTAGAGATGCTGGCTTTCTCCTGGTTTGACCATCAGAAAATTGTTAGAACAGAAAGCTCCCAAAAGAGATCCACAATCCTTAGAAATGAGGCAGGTCAAGGGATGTTCCCTATGTGTACACATATTTTCTCGGCTTCAAATCCCCAGAAATCATGAGGGTTCCTTGAACATACTAAGTATTTCCTTCCCTGTCACCTATTCCTCCCAGGAAAGGGCCTGAGAAGTAAAGCAAAAGCAGAACAACTGTGTATCCAACTCTACTTATATCACTTTACTTCCAGCAAAGAACCCTTTTTAAGTCATCCCAAGGGTACCAACATGAGAACTTTAAAAACTACATAATTAAAATAAATAAATAAATATGTATGAAATAAATAAATATGTATGGAATAAATCAGAGAATTTACCATTTTTGCTTTCAAAAGGTTCTGGGAATAATTTTGACTTCTGACTACTCCAACAGGGCTGTTTCTAGCAGTCTGCGCTATTCCTCCTCCTTTGGCTCAGAGCCCATGAGTGCTGTCCCTCATCAGGGTCTCCCATTCAAAGTCTTGGACAAGAGTGAGTGGTGACCCAGTGACCTGTGGGCACATGCATGTTTCACAAAGATTACATTCAACTCTTCCTAGAGGAGGAATATAAATTCTAGCTGATCCAATGAAGCCTTCTCATGTTACTCCCCTGGGGGATGACTTAGGCATGTATCTGTCTTCTCACCCTGTCTGAAGGGTAATAACAAGGCTATATGTGCAGATAGACTGAAAAATCAAAAACTTTTAATTGCCTAAGTGGGATGCTCAGGTCATTCCAAGGGAAGACTACAAATTGCACTTCTCTTGGACTAGAACGGTAATAAAATCTTCCTTTCCTTCTGCCCCCTGCATCAAGGGGCTCACTAGAAAAACAAGCAATCTGGAAGAGCTCTCCTTGCTAATCTGATACTAACCTTTCCTCATCAAGAATCTCTGCAAACTACCTGGGGCTGGCAGGGTTCCTTTGGTTATTAGATGGAGAAGTAGCAGTTAGTGTATGAAGGACAACCAGCCCAGAAGGGTCCCATAAAGTCAGATAAATGTATGGATTCGAGAGTCAACCCCAAAAGGCCCAGGATCACTCACTTTCTTAACCTAAAGTCTTCTTTCTACTCCTTAGTGATCTCATACCTCTCTGGGGCCAGAACTCGAGAAGGCTTTGCTCCCTCTGCCAAAACTCCCCCTTCCATGTCTGAGAACCTGAGGATTTGGAATGGCCCCCATGGGGCAGAGAGACTCTGTCTGGCTTTTTCATGCCCAAATGTATGCACCTTTGCCAAATCCATTTCCTCCAGGGCTCAGGTCTTCTTCCATGTGCAAAGTGTCTCAGACAGTTGTTTCCCTTGACTAAAGTTGGTTCTTCACTGAAGAGTAAATGATGCTAGCAGCCAAATGAGTGCTCGAATAGTGATGCTCACTATTCAGACAGCATTCTGTGGTTGGATGCTACAATCCTACTTTGCTAGGTCATTCACTCTTTGAAACCCTGGAGGTTCTACGACACCTTGATTCATCCTGGAAATCAAATAGACAGCTCAAAGTGAAGGAATTAGAGCCATAGACCTGACCATGCTTTTAATTACTAAGAGAGTATTTAACAAGATCAAAAATTGTCCACCCTGGCTAATAAACAATGTGCTCTTAGGGCACAGAGAAAAAATAGGGCTTTAGGCACTAAAAAGTAACACTTCACCCAGATCCAGCCTGGGAGAAGACGGGGGTTAGGGGGCGGTGGGAAAGAAATTCCCAGCCCTTATTGGGTCCACACCTTACACAGGTTAGAGAAAGGTACAGGGGGTGATCGAGGAGAATACTTCAGAACACAAGTCCTCAGGAGCCTGCAGCTACCAAGCCTAAACCCACAAGTACAGCCTTCCTAGTCTTACAACAGTCTTCACCTGGTTTTCAGTCTATGGTCTGTATAAGAGGGTGGCCTCTTAAGGTAGAGTATAGATTGGGCTCCTGCCCTTGATGCTTCCTTGTTCCCAAGAGAACACTTGGGATAGAATGGGGAAGGGAAGAAAAGATTTTCTTTTATTTTGGAAACAAATCAAAAGGAGATTAAGGAATGAAGCACCTTAAGCAATACCCCCTCGAGACTCCTCTTCAAGACTCCAGGGTCTTCACAGGCATAACTTTGGCTCAACAACAGTTCCCTTCTTAGAGCCAAGAATGGCCAGCAAGGGAAAGGGTGGGGACGAGAGGATGGGGAAGAGGAGGGTCAGGGGGGGTCGGTGCTGAGAGGTGGTCCCTGCCCTCCTCGGCCCCGCCACTGACCCACACAGGAGGTGGCCCCGCTCCTTCTCCCTGGTACATAGGCATTATCTCTTTTTAAAATCTGTATATTTTTTTTTTTATATATATATATTTATAAGGTCTATGTACAAATATTGCACAGGCCTCTTGCAGCCACCCCTGTTCCTGCCTTGTCAATGATAGCGGTTCCTCTTCTCTTCATTTTCTGATGTGTAGTCACGGGACCTGATGCCATTCTGAAGATTGATGAGTGAGTCCTTCATCTGTAAGACAGGGAATCCCACCCCAGTCCAGGTATGTGCCCTCAGTGGGATTCCCCATGCAGCAGCGCCTGCCATACTTGTCTATGGCAGGGCCCCCACCATGCCAGGGAGCCAAAGGGAAGGGCTCCTAATACTAGGGTGATTCTCAAGGGACACGGTCTCAGGCAGAAAGAGGAAAGCCAATCTAGCACTGGAGACCTCTAGGGTATGGTTCACTGTGTCTCAAAGATTTGTGGCCTTTTTATCAGTGAATTAAGAATTGTCTCAAAGCATTCAGTTGCTGTAAGAAGCCACATTAGACCAACACTTTGGTCTTCTACTCATTCCATTTGGTTTCCCCACTGATCCTGACTGTACTGTACTTCTAACTTTGTACATTTTGCCACGGTGTTTTCCCAGCCTGGGACTCTTTTCTTTCTTGCCTATTTCAATCTCACCCATCTGTTAAGGCTCTGAACGAATCCAAACTTTCTCTGGCTCACAACTGTCCCTTTTTTTCCTGGCCTCTCATACACCACCCACTAAAACTCTGGAGTGCAGTCATCTTTAATTGCTTTGTTTTATGTGTGTTGGGACTGCAATGTGTCTTATCTTCATACACCCTGGGTGCCAAGCAGAGAACTGAGTAGGCTTCCAGGTGTAGCTATATCACTGACTTAACCTTAACTGAATTTCTTAATCTCCTTAAGAAACAGGACACATGAACATTGCTAGATCATGGGACAGAGTTTAGGGATGAAGGGCTCATTACTGTTCTTTTATAAGTTACTTTTAAAGGGAATGAATCAAAACATCTATCTTAATCTTTGTAGAGTATAACATGCTATAAATCTAACAGTCCCAAAATCAAACTTAAGGGGACCTACCCTGAAACAGAATTCTAGAGTTGGAAGAGAATTGGATCATCCAATCCAACTGCTCTGCCCTCCCCCACTCTCATTTAATCCATAAGTTCTTTATCCAACATCATCTCATCACCCCTTGAGCACTTTCAAGGATGGAATCTCACTTCTTCGGAGGAGCCATTCCACTTCTGGGTAGCTCTAACTATAAGTAGTCTGTTATTGATGGCTTAAAAATCTAATTCTCTATAACTTCCAGCCCTAGAGTTCAGTCCTCTGGAGTTTTACAAGCCATATAACCTGTGGATCTCAACATCTAAAGACTATCCTGTTCTCCTCACTCACCTTTCCTTCTCCCAAGCATATCTTCGATTCTAACAATCTTCTTCATATGACAGGGCTTCTAAATTCTTTGCTTTGCTCTTTACTCTCCTCTGGTTAAAAATATTCCTACTTAAACATGGTTCCAAAGCTAGATATGATATTCTAAACACATTATACTGGATCCTGATAGTAGCATGAAGACATTCTCTTAAATAAAGGGAAATAAAATTTAATATTAATGAGTACCTCCAAAGTGCTATCAAATCCTGACAGCAATTTCATGAAGAAATGATTATAATTCCTATAAGTGAAGAACTGAAGGGAACTACTATTAAATCCCTTGCTTGAAGTCACAAAACTAGTTAGTAGCAAGGTTAAAGTTCCATCTCAGCTCTAACTGCCTACAAAACATCAGAAAGAAACCCCTTAGGAATAGCAATTTTAATGTAACAGAACAAACCCTCAGTCTCCTATCACCCTAACTATCTTGCAAATAGGTTATGCTATACCAGCAACCACATGGGAGATTTTCATAGATGTTAAATTCCTCTGGGAGAAGGAAGAAGCTCCCTCTCCTGATAAAACTAAGCTAACTACTGATTTTGACCCAGGACTGTTTCTTAAAGAGATGCATTTCATTTTTAAAAGGAATATAGGCAACTCTACTAGGAGAAGATATTATGAAAAGAAGACATAGTACAGCCTTCCCAGACTGTCAGTGCAGACTCCAGGGAAGAGCACAATACTGGAGGTTGTGTGTTTGTATGCCTGGTTTGAGAGTGGGGGAGGGGTGGCATATATCAAAAAGAATTAAAGAGATATGCCCTCTGGGAAGAAAATTCTCTGTAAAAAGGGGCTATCTCTTCAAATGCCTGTCAGGTGGCTATGGATTACCCAAAAAAAAAAAAAAAAAAATTAGTTCTCCTTCCATCTAACCTACAGCCTACCTGCTGCAAATCCAGTGTGTTATTTTCTTGTTTTAGGGAATATACCTGTGTTCCCAATAGTTCACTCAAAATTAAAATTAGAAAAATGGATGGCCTAGGAGAAGAATGAATGGGAGGATGAAGTCCAGTGGGTGGTGATGGAGATGGTGATGGTGATCTTTCTCAGAATACAGGGAAGGAGTTCCAGCCCCAGAAGACTAGGGCAAAGAGAGAAGGTCCTGGAGACATCTCACCTGGTCCAGAAGCATCACCGAGGATTTGATGATCTCCCTCCATTTTTGGAGCTCAGTGTCATGGTACTTTTGTTGAGACTCTAAGAGCTGAGCCCATTCTGTCTGAGACTGGGGTAACCTGTGGGGTAGAAGAAGGGGTACCTCAGTAGCTGGAGTTATGCTCAGAGGGCTGTCTTGTGCTCCCAGACCCCTAAATGATAGAGAGTCACATCAGAGTGCTCTGTCCTCTGCTTACTGCCCTTGGCATCCCTGTGCCCCAAATCAGCGGCAGCCTAAAACTATATGCACAATTTTTAGAGCTTACTTACGGACTCATCCCAAAAGATTATCACCTGGCCAAGGGCAGCAGGGCAGTTCCCAAGGAGACTGGGAAGCAGGAACCAGGGCATGGTACTGGTAGAGTGGAGGTAGTGGCAAGAAGAGGCCAGGATTACCTTTCTTGGAGCCTCAGACCTTGCCAGGCAGTGAGGGTCTGGGTGGTATATTCTAGCATCCAGAGTTTGTAGAAGAGCATCACATTAAGGAGGACCAGCAGCACCAGACTAGAAGGGAGACAAGGGGAAAAGCAATGAGAGGAAACCTGAGAAAGCCTGCTCCCTGTATGAGCCACGGACAGCCACATCCAGAGGCTGCTTTCCTTGACCAGTGGGTCACCTGAAGCATTGCAATGAGTAAATAAGTGACTGGTGGGATGCAGCAAGGGGGAGAAAGCGAGCGAGAGAGAAGCATTCTGATCCGGAAGGGCCAGAACATGGCAAGAAATCTATGGAGAGGTGTGTGGGGTAAAGGCACTGGAAAAGAGATACACAAAAGTTACCCAGAGTCTGAGGAAAGAGAGGTTAAGATGGAAAGAAAAAGGCATGAGAGGATAAAAGAAGCAATTATAGAGCCAGTACCTGAAACAGATTCTAATGGAAGCAGGGAAGAAAATGGGGAGGAGGCAGAGGTTAGAAACAGACTACATTTAAATTGCACTAGAGAGAGATCTATGAGAAAGGAACACTAGGAGCAGAGACACAACGGATGAGGACTAGCCAGAAAGGAGCAAGAGAAAGCAACTGTAAACTGATCTTAAAATTTCAAAGGTAATAAACTGAGGTTAAGACTCCTCCACCAATCTGGCTTTAGGATACAACTAAAGGGTGACAGTGTGGGAGGAATTCATGGGATTCCCAGCTCTGCCCCTGGTGCACCTTACAGATGTTGACAGAACCGCCTTAAGGCTGCAGTCTCCTCCTTGCACCTGCCACAGGCCCACGAGGACCTGCTGAGGGTTCCCAGAGAGGAGCCAGTACTGGTGAGAGACAGGGAGGTGGCAAGGACAATCCAGGGGCCAGGGGACCCAGTGGAAAACAGACAATCACTGAGAGACAGGAAATTCTCTTTGTCTTTTGGCATCAGTGGCTGCCTAAAGATCAGTTTATGACAGAAATTCATGGGATGAAGAGATGAAGACTCCAGTAAAGAGAGGATCCAGAAACACACAGAATTGGCTACAAATCCTGGCTCACCACTTCAAAGTTTAACTTTCAGTCAAGATCCCTAGCTTCTCTGAAACACAACTTGCTCAATGGGACAATGATGCCTATCCTGCTGGGGTCTGGTATGTGGAGCCAAGGGATCCAGGTTAAAGCACCCTGCACACAGGAGGCCCTCCACGGTGGGCCGTTGTTTTCATTAAAGAAAGAACTACAGACACACATAAGAAAAAATGATGACAAAATAAGATAAAATATATGGGAAAAGACCAACAAAGAAAGAAAATTTTAACACTATGCCTTCGACCTTACAAAGTATGCATGGTGAGTGTGTGTATGATACTGTATTTCTCACTTGTGCTTCCAACTGGGACCTGCAAATCCTTGAGGTTACTCAGCTGTGTTCTCCACAAGAATTTCTAAATTTTGTGTTGAGTTTCAATGATCCTGCCTAGAATTCTATCAATCCTATCAATATACCAGATCATCTGACTGCTCACCTCTTCAGTGTGAGCTGCACACAACCTTAGCACCTGCGTCTGGGTTTGTGTTTACAATCCTGTCCGTGCTCAGTGAGGGTGAAGGGACCCCTTTGTGCTGTCTGAGTGAAGGCTCAGTGGTGGTCTAAACAGAGAAAACATGTGGGAGGGCTGGGTGCTCACAGTCAGGTGTATGGTGGCTCAGGCCTGCGAGAGATAGGGAAATTGGCACCATACCCGTCCACACACATGCATGCTATCAGCAGACACCCCTGCCTGTTGAATGATGAGGACTGATTATCCTAAACTAATAAAGCCTCAAAGTTAGTTAATACATTATACAATTTACTCAGGTGAGTAGATCTTCTCTACTTAAATAACATCAAAATGCCGAGAGAGAAAAAAATGGTGTAGATGATAGAGGCTCTGTTCATCCCTCTGGCAACCAAATTAAAGTTGTGACGGAAATAAGGAGCAGCAGCAAGGAAAAATCACCTGGGACCTAGATGAATAAGCCATACAATTATGGAGAAACCTAAGAAAGCAACGGCAGAAGGTAGGACAGGGCGGGGATGCGGGGTTGCCCGGTCCTGAGAGGCTGAGTGAGACAGAGGCTGCAGCAGCAGCAGAAGCCTCTTAAAGGGGCAGCATCCACAAGTGGATTTTCGTGGTGACAGACCTGCTCACTCTGAGCACCAGTGCCCATCTGGCTGCGTGCAGGGGACACGGGGGACTTACAGGGAGATATTGTTGGAGTGAGGGTCCAAGTGAGACTCGCTCCGTAAAGTGCCGGTGATATCCACTGTTCCCTGTTGAGCCCTCCCCACTCCCAGTGCGTGGACACAGCGCCACCATAGCTGTGACGTCATCAAACTGGATAAGAGGTTGCCTTGCCCAGAGGATTCCCTGAGACCCTGCCTCCCCCAACTCAGGCCTCCAACCAAGCTACATCCATGTATATCCTCAGCGAGTCAGGTGCGCCTTGCTGAGCATCGCCTAGACTCACACTGGAGGCAGCTGGCCTCGGTTTCTGGTGTGGCCTTTAGAGGCAACTATAAGCACAGATCTGTGGATTGCTTGCTGAATCTTAACAGGTGGCCCCAAAGGGGTAGAGGCTTGAGCTGAATTTTGCCTGCAGCTGAACCCCTCTCAGGACTGTGCCGCTGGACACCTACTTCACAAATCCACACTA